TTTTTCTAAAACTCTTTTCAGAGACAGAAAAGAATTTATAACTATTGCCAAACTGAGATTTCTTAGAAATTATGCCTGTATGTAATATGTGAATATTGAACAAAACAAGAGGATTTATTGTAAGAAGTCTTTCTGGAGAGACAGCCAAGTATGTAGGGATTAAGGTACTCTTGGGTTCTTGTTATTTCTGAGTGTTGGTTGTTTTTCTGCAGATGTTTCATTACCAAACTAGGTAACATCATCAGTGCATTGAGCTATACATATTCTGTCACATGTTTCACCTTGACCTATATATATTCTCCATTATAGGATCAAAGGGCCAAGAAAACCTTGTTTAAGATCTACCCTTAGCTACAGGAATAGATTGGGTGATTGCTGTAGGTTAAAACAAGGAGAAATTGCCATCAAAGCTCTGGAAGGAAAGGAGGGGCATAAATCAAACAAATCAAAAACTCAAAAAGATAAACTGGCTTATCATTGGGTGTTTTGCTATTTGTTTTTTCTTATGAAGCCCAGCTACATCTGTTCAAAATACAGTAGGCATTTTATTGAACTAAAATATGAGCTCTCCACTTGTTGACTCCCACGAAAACTCAATCAGTGACAATGCTGTGCAGAAGCAAAGCCATTCAGTATATAGATGGAAATTATACAACTTAAGGCTGTGTTCACAACAATGTGCTTAACTAGGTCAGGTAAAGTCTTAGCAGATCCATCCATCATGAGGCTTGATTAGCTGCTGCTTCTGCTTCTTTGCCTCAGTGAATTACACAAATCTAGACTACTTTATTATTTATAGTTCAGTGTACTGTATCAAGTGAGAAAGTGGGTTAATTCACTAAATGCTGGGGTAAGCATGTTGTGTGAATACAGCCAATACATAAAGCAGCTCCAGTTCATGAAAAGAAAGTTTCATTTAAAGGAACTATTTTTTAAAAAAATACACAGAAAGCATACAGAACAAAAGGAAATGGTGACAATTCATGCTGAGATGTCTGGCAATGTCAGCAATGCCAGTATAGCTGGCTGTTAGGTTTTGGAAGAAGACAGCCTTAAAATGACATGTGCTTTCCCCAACAGCAGGAGGCAAACCTCACAAATGCATTTGGAAGGAGAATTGAAATATCAACTATTAAGGCTTTTCAAATGGTATTTCCCCATATCTCCCAATGCCTGGAGTGGACACGAGCACATCACCAATTCAACAGTGTGATGGCTTGCCTCAGATAAATGTCAAAACATTTGCATCCCCACAGCCCCAGTGGGAAAAGAGTATACAAGGCTGCCAATTAATAAAAGCATATTGTATATCCAGTAATGGGCACAAAATCAAGAACAGTAGGTAAAATGTATAGTCTAATTTTAAATTTATCCAGAATAGCTGATATCATCTGGCTTTGTGCCCTGATTTATTTATTTATTTTCAAATCCTCACCAATTCAAGAAAACAGGGAAGTTGTAGAATTTTGTTCTTAGCAGGTTGCATATATATCTGAATGCCTCCTCTCCTGAGAGTTGGGAAATGATCTAGGTAAGGACTCTTCCTAACTCATATGAAGGTATAAGGATTTATTGAAAGTGGAAAAATAAGCCACGGTATTGTGTGAAAACTGGACAGCATCATGGGATGCTTCTGGTTTTTGCAGTGAGCTATTTGGAAACTCTACAGGATACCCAAAAAAAGTCCAATAGGGAAGGTAGAACTATGGTGATTTCTTACATGGCATACCCTTCATCCGGTTCTAATTTTGTCCACAGAAAATGCTATTAAGAGGCCACTCAAGGACACGATGAATGTAACACTAAACACACATTTAGTGGCTTTTTTAATATGTGCATGTGTGTGAATACTCTCAGAACACTTAAAATGCAGGTAGTAACTTTTTTTTTCTAATTAAGCATACACTTTCTAAAATATGTTGCCTTTACATCCAGATTGCAGGAAATAGAAAAACATAAATCTCATGTGTGAAAATGCCCTAAGGCACTTGACTGAGATCAGGACAGACCATGTTGTGCCAAATGGAAAGGAATTAGCACTTCAAATTGAAAACCGTGATGTTCATTTTCCTTTCCACTGGGACCTCAGCCTTTCCCAACTGTGAAATAGAGACATTTAACACTGGCTTGATCTCCATCAGGTGAATACAACTGAAGAAAGCAATGAGCCTTCAAGAGGATAGATTTGCTGCAGCTAACAATGCTGGATTTCTTGGAATGGATGGGTGGCATTCGGCAGGGCTCCAGGATGATCTAGAAGCTTCTTGGCAGAGATCCATCCATTCATTTGTTTTGAGTGTATTTTCAGTCACTACTGCTAACTTCCACTTTCTCTCCGGGCAATGGAAAAACCATTTCCATCTTAGGAGTTGCCCATTCCGGGACATTGATAGACCTGCATATCTACCAGCCCCACCTGCCTTTGTTTATGGTATTTGTTATTGATGATAAGGAAGGTCCTTCTCCCAGCCCTAACAAGCATTTGTTCAATCAAATCCCAGACATCAATGTCATAGAAATGAGCAGAGCATTTGACATCCATCATCTTTCTTAGCCTGTTTCTCCCTCATCCCTATAATTAACCAGAGATTTAAAAACGTACATACATTTTCCTTATTGATTTGACAGAGAGTAAGGAGCTAACAAGCTATATTATGATATACAAATTTGCATCACTTGCTGTACTATCAAATTACAGTCACTAGAATAATTCCAACACATAGGTATATAAATTAATGTGCCCTTAAACTTTACAATGAGATGCCTATAATTGGCATATTAGACTTCCTTTCCATTCTATCTCCAAAGATCCTCTCCAATTCCTATATGGAGAACCATATTCCAGTCCTATTGCTGCTGAGGCAATACCCTTATGGTACCTATGCATTAATCTATCCAGCAATTGCAAAACCAGCAGCTTGGCTACAATCGCACCAAGGATGTGGGGACTCCTTTTCAAGAGTTTATTGGCTGGGTTTTTTCTAACTGCTTCATATGCATATGGGTTTAGATGCAAACAGACAAGCATATGGAGACAGAAGCAAAATTGGGAGAGTATCAGACCCAATCTGTTTATCAAAAACCTTTATGGGTGTTTCCTACTCTAAACATTTATTGACTTACTACTACTATTTGAAACTTATTCTTATTCTACAAACATACACAAAGACACCGTTTAAAGGCTGTAAATATTGATTAAAATGTCAAATGAATCCCATAGTGGAAGAATAGATTTTGTTGCACTTGTATAGAACATTGAAAAATCAAAACATCTCAGGCACAAACACACTAATTCACCAATTCCAGTATGCTGTGCAGAGCTCACAACCAGTCTGCATTTCAGAACCTATCTTCCCCCGTATACACCCAGACTTACAGAGATGAGCACTTCTCCTTTAAGAATTGGAGAAAGTTTTCCACCGGTGGAAAAATCTATTCAGACAAGCATGAAGGGGGGGGGGGGAGAGAAACCTGATGGGAAGGAGACAATTGTTAATTCTGTCTCCCAGCTGAAAAGAACTAACAAAGCAATCAATCCAAATGAACCCCTCAATGGGCCTGAAGGAATCACAGCAATTGGGAAAGGACTGGCACTGAGGTTTTCAGAAGAGCAGAATGGCGTGGAGACTCCAAAGAAACCAGTATCTGAGCAAGACAAGATGCTTCCCTGGGAAAGCCTAGGTCTAGGAGGAGCCCAGGAAAGTGATCCACTGCAGATAGGACTAGCCACAGTTAGGAGAATGGTTGAGGGGAGGGGGGCAGAATCTCCTTTTTCATTCCAGGAGGGCTGCATAGCAGAATAGGAGGGATCGTTTAACCAAGTTTCAGATGAAACATTGGTAAATGAGGGCGGTAGTAAAAAAGGAAGACACATAGCCCCCCCCCCTCCAAAACCCTTTCAGCCTTTAGAAGAAATGAAAAGAGTGAAAGAATCAAAGCAACCCTCAAAGAAATGGAGAAGAGCTTCAATTGGGTTGAAGACATCTGGGCAGAGGAGTTAAGAGTTCATACAGAAGCAGTTGTGTTTGTGAATTAAGAGAGAAAGACAGCAGGGGCACCACACACATCCATTCAGAAGTATTTTAGATCATTTCAAGTGTCCCCTTAGTGTCCCCTCTAGAGCAGAAGGGATCCAAGCCCTTAGTATCCTGTTTAAGATGATAGGGCTTCTGGTCCGCCGATCAGGAGATTTCCAAGTTGAGGAAGCACACCTTAGTCCCAATCTGTCATAACCCCCCGTCCAAATGTCGAAGACAAATGTTACCCCGCTCTGCAATTTTTCAAAGTTCAACTTAAAACTCCCCAATCTCGATTCCGCCGCCGTGGCGTTTCCCTCCCGGTTGGTGTGAAGTCTGGCCGAGAAGCCGCCTATTCCTAATACGCAAGGGCATAAAAAGGGGCTTGATTTAACCTCTGGTTTCCTCCTGCAAGGCTCTCCCACCGAAAAACCTTCTGCAAACAACGTTGTCCTTCCAATTTTTTTTTTTTTACATCCGCACACATCTAATGCAGAAGCCGAAATGGCCAAGCAGAAAAAGTATGAGTCTTTCCTTCCTAGTGTAGGATTAAAAAAAAAAAAAAAGCTTTGGCGATAGATGGGACCCGAGGCGCCTCTCTCGCCCCCCCGCCGCCCCCCCCCCCCCAAACAACACTCATCGCGACGCAACTTAGAAAACAAGTGCCAGCCTCAGGTGGAGAAACCCGTCTCGTCGGAATGGCAAAGAGAGAGCAAAGGCGGGGAACCCCTCCGGACGAGATTGGGAAAGGAGGCAACTTTCTCGCTCGCTGGCTCGCAGCGCTCCTTTGGCGCAGCTGAGAGTTAGAAACGAAGGGCAGGTAAGGGCAGGGTCCCCACCCCGCCAAAAAGTCAGGCTATCAGCCCTCCAGTGCCACTAAGCGAGGTGCATCGCCTCGAAGGGCCAGCCCTGGGGCAGCTCGGATCCCCTTTTCTCCGGGGGGGTGAGGAGAAGTGTGGGGGTGGGAAGAGAAGGGGAACTCACGCTTCTCTCGGAGGTGCCGGCCTGGGAGATGGTGCCATTCAGCCCCACGAGAGAAGGCAGCGTCTGGGACATCCAGTTGGTGACCATGGCCATGGTGCTGAGCACGGCGCCGATCTTCAGCAGCGGCACGGTCATGTCGCCCCCTGCCTCTCATGCCCCTCGCCCTCCGGCGAAGCCCGCGACGCAGCCCTCCTCCCGGCTCATCTGCCCATCCGGGAAAGGCTTCCGCTTCCCCGGCGGACCCGCCACGCCGCCCCGACTGCTGAGCCGAGAAAGCGGGAGCTTCTCGCGCCCGGCCTTATAAAGACACCCCCCGCCGTCCTCTGTGACGTCACAATGGCACCGGCCACTGGCCGAGCCTGCCTCCGAGTGGGGAGAGGCGGGAGGGGGGGAAAAACCAGACTCAAACGGAAAGGGAACAGACAGGAGCGAGCAAACGGACTGGCAAGCTCGGACTGCGGTTTCTCGAGTAAAGGATGCCATCCTTTACCCTACCTCGGAGTAAGGTATCCCTGACTGCAGGCCTCCCTCCCTGCCAGTCTCCTCTGAAACGCAGCAGGAAATCTCATCCAGTCTCCCCTTCAACCTCCTGCGCCAAAATACTCGAGAGCTTCCCGAGCGCTAGACAAGAGTTTTTCCACTTCCCTGTCTGCAGACTTCCCTCCCTCAGCCTCCCTGCAATTGATTCGTTTTTCTTTGAAACCAAGGATGGTAGATAAATGCCTTAGATCTGCTTGGTGTAGTGTGTTACCAGAATCACCTTTCCCATATGTGTGTCAATGGTGCTCTAGTGCCAGCTTGCCAAGCTTTACCCCATTGAAAATCCCTCTTTGCCCTGCCCTTTACTCTTGCTCTTGAGATCTTCCTGGTTCATTTACCCTGGAATATCTTCTGGAGTAGGTTAAACTAAGCTTTCTTGCTCCAATAAGCCCTGTATTCAATATTATTCAGTCCTATTGTGCATAGGCTCCATGACTGTGCAGTGCATAGCAAAAGATACTTACCAGGCAGTAAATATTATACAATTTAACGGGTTACCTTTCCTGGTTAAATTTGCCAAATCCTTCAGCTCTCCTTTCTCAAATCAACTTTGTCAAATTCCATTGGGCATAATTGGATTTAAATATGAACACCTCACATTGCTGCATGTTCACTATCCTGGAAATATTCACAGGGAGGTAACTCCTACTAGATTCTTTGTGCCGATAAAAGTCTCAATTCTAAACTTTCTTATAAGCTAAACCATGAATTTTAAAACATACATAATGCATAACGGAACTTGCTGTTGAGTCACTTTCTCCAATTCTAGGAATTCCAAATGACATACTACATTAAAGCACTTTGGTCCTCTACATTGGGGGTTCTCATGGCAGAAACCAACAGTATTTTAATTATGTTATTATTTATCCACCTACTCATTTTTTTCTTGATATGAATGGATTGTTGCCTAAGTACATTCTGCCTTGATCCTACTGAGTTTTACTTTTGCTTTGACAATTGAGATCAGGTCACTATAATTCCCGTTCCGCATATGATACAAGATAGAAAAAGCTGAGATGACATATCAAGTGATTGGCTTTGGACTGATCCCAAGAATCCATAGAAGTTAAGATTTTAACCTACCACTCCACCCAGGTTACTCTGAATCTGAACACAAAGGCAGACAGCAATTTGAAATTAAACAAAAAAAAATCAAAGCATTTCAGACATAATTGACCCAATTCACATGTACAATTATGTACAATTAATATTGTACATAAAGATAGTACATATGATTATAAATACCTAACATAAGCATCTTGTGAAATATTTCTGGTCAACACATCATTTGAAAGAGCTTGGAAAAAAGATGCTGCATTGCCACCATGTTCAATTTGACATCTGTCATAATGCAGACATATTTTAAAAGTAATTTTTTATTAAACTTCAAAAATGCAAAAGTAAAAAAAACTGATACAAAATAATAAAAATATAAAAAGAAAAAAATTAGAAGTGCAAAGGAAAGAGGAGGAAAGGAAAGGAAAATATATAGGGGAAAAAAGAAAAAAAAGAGAGAGAAATGACTTCCCGCTTCATCAAAACATTTCAGTAATTACCACCTCCTCTAACATTTCCACAAAGATCACTTCTTTCCCTATCTCTTCTCTTATGTTAAACAAATTATAAAGCCTAGTCTTTCAATCTTAATGAGCAAACACCAATTAAGAGTTACCAGGAATAACAAGATATATTTAACCTTTATCAAATAAATCATTTTCATATGCCTTTCCTTTTCTTTTAACATAGTAAGTTATCATTTTATTTAAAAAATACAACAAAATGTTTCTTCCAATATCTTATATCTTATAGATAAACAAATCTTTCAAACTCTTTAAAGGAAGTTTTAAACACCAGCATTAAGAGCTACCAGATATAGCAACTATATTAAAAATCTTTATCTTTAACTCCTTCCAGTAGAATCTCACAATTTTTTACCATTTTGTCTTTGTCTCCTCTCAAAACTCCTTTACCAATATAACATGTACCAGAAATAATAACATCTGTATTTTAACAAAAAAAAACCTCTTCTTCCCTTATCCTATTTATAAACAAATCTTTAAAACCTTGCCATTCAGTTGTGATCAAGAAAAAAAACATTAAGAACTATTAGAAAGAACATCCTATCTATCATATTGACAAAAGCTATATGCAAGTTAAGTAGCCTACATATTCTGTCATGTCGATTTTCTGACTCATTTTATTTCAGAACTCCTTAAATTTGCATTGTCTTGCAATACTTAAAAGTGAGAAGGCAGCTATAGTTTAGGAAGCCAATGCCATCAATTTCCTTCTATACTGGCCTGATGTGAGTCAAGAGAAGCTTTCTCAGAGAAACAAAATCTAGAGACATTGGTATCTCTTCAATACTCATAAACTGAATTCTCTCAACAATCTTTATTTTGTTCTTTGCTGGAATACAGCATCTTCTGCAGACCTCCAATGACTCTGAACTAGTCAGCCATGAGTGAAAATTGGTGTCCTACTGAAATGGGAAAAAAATCCCAGTACGTGCCAGGAATCTCGTCACTTAACAATGGAACAGTACCCTGTCTTTGTATTTGAGAACACGGTTTTCTCAGCCATACCATCTAGGCACCAATGGTTATATAATGGGGAACATGTAGAGATATGATTTAAATAGTAGTATCCTATAGCTGTCCTGCTTGTTCCAGCAGTTCCGCTTCCAAGTGGCAAAAACTGCATAAAGCTGGGGGTAAAATCCATTGAACCTGAAAAAAATTAATTCAGAATCATGTGACATAGAGTTGGGTAATTTGCACTTTCTGAGAATGTTTCTTTGTTGGGGAATTCCAATTCCAATTCCTGACAGTGAGATTAACCCCTCCAAAAAATTGTCAGCAGATACTTTTCTGTTTTATTTGATTTGATTCAATTTCAGCACCACACAACACTGGACAGCTCATAACGTGAGGAAAACAAGATAAAAGTCAAAGAAGCAAAGAAATATAATAAAATTAATGAAGATTAAAATCTAGATAACTCACACCAAAACATATGCCAGATGCACCCAATACATCAGACTTTTATTTACCCTACTCCAATGCCTGAGCGAACAGTCAGGTCTGTAACACTTTCTGAAAAACGATCAGAAATATATTTGTAAAATAAAAATAAACTAGTCAATCCAGCCAAAAGTTTTCAGCCATGTAGGTTTTGATTGAGATATGCAGTTGAACATACTTCCAGGTAGATATGCATAGCAAGATTCAGTGAATTTGATCCATTACACAAAACCATGCAACATTCTGCTGAATTGGACTTTCTTGTTATATTTTTAGATAAGATTGTTTACCTCGACACATAAATCCTATGCATGAGAAGCTGGAGAAATGATTTGAACTTTTTCCATGTTGATAGGGTGTTTTAATAACAAACAAATGTAGAAAATCATATTACTAGGCTACAAGCATTGAGCAAGAGTTATTCACACTGAATTAGCTTCCCATGTTTCAATTTCTTCCTATTTGCCTGTGTGTGTTAGTAAGATTTCCTATATGATTTTCTATAATATGTTTAGACTTATCTCAGTTTCCAATACAATCTCTGTGAACTGAAAATAGAATCAGTCAGTTTCGGAATGTTGAAGAGTCAACTTTTTTCAATATACCGGAACTAAAGAATAGAAACTTAGCTTGCCAAAGTTGTTTATTTAATGGCTTTTCAGACTATTTATTAAATGTGGGGCCACCATGACTGCAAACTGTGGGCACTGGCATAGCAATTCTTATAACCAAGTTCAAGAAGAGGATGCAACATCAAAACATAAATTGCAAATGGTTTAGGATTATTTCATTCTCCTTTTTCTATACCTTGCCATGGTGTATGTGTTTGTGCATACATGTGTGTGTGTTAAGAAAAGCAATAACTTGACTGAAATACGGACAGCCCAGATGCAGTGTACTACCAGAGTGCCAAGTGGCCAGGAGCTTATTTATACCCGTTTTCCCAGGAGGGCATAGTTGGGTAAATGCTAAGCTCAATGATATTGCTGTCAAGACTCCAAAATTCCACTTAGCAGAATGAATAGGAAATACTGGCTATTGAAGGAAACTACACCACCTAAAGTTGAGAGATTCCAGATAGTTCTTCCACCCAGGCTCAAACCTGACTTCATTAATGTTTCAGACTCTTATATCTTCATATCCTACCCTGGAGATAATGTTATCTATTATTAACCTGTTATTTTTGAGATGCTGATTCTTGTGTTTGCGAGAGAAGGACAAATCCAAATAAATAAAGGGCATAACTAAAAGGTTACATTATCAAACTTTGTGCAACTGCTATTCAGCAGTGGTTGAATTCACATGAAAAGCCATCTCTTTAGATCAATGCTGTGCTAAGGTGAGCATTCCCTACGATTCCACCACTTTGTGGTTAGTTCAACAAAAGAACCAGTCTTTACTGATCAATTTTAACTAATTTGCTATATCAGCTCATTAGCCTTTTGTCTTTCACTTTATGCTTTGCTTTGCTATTGTGAATTGCTTTGGAGTACAATCTAGTTCAAAACATAGGAGATAATGCTTCAATGTACTTCAATTAATTTTGCACTGATCGCATAGAACCACCACTGC